CCTCCATGGGAAAGCAGATGGCTTGTTTATTGCCATGAATAGTAAGGCTGAACTCTAGTCTCGTTATTCTGGAAAAGCCCATTACTGTGTTCAAGCCAACTGTTTCCTGGCTGTGATTTACATATCCCTCCCACAGGAGTGGATCAGCTTCCCCCTGCCTGTCTCTGGCAACCCCCCTTGACACCTGGCTGTTGGCGTTGTCAGTCACTGCAGAGATGCTCAGCATCTCTCAGGTAGCACAGAATGACAAGGTCTTGGGTGACAGTCTCTGAGATGTCTGTAAGGTGGGGCAAGAGGGTCTAAGGAGTTAAGGGTTGATTGTGGATGGGGAAAGTTTCCAAGGATGGTCAGCTCCATCCTGGGACAGCTACAGCAAGTTATCCAACAGGGATGCCTTGGCCATCTCAGTCAGAAGGGCATTTGGGAGTGGGGAGGTCACTTAGGTCTGGGGCAGTGATTAGATGATATAACTTCTTTAACTGGGCACCAGACATATGCTGAGAATGACCTCAGGTAAGTCATCTCCCTTCCCAGGCCTTAGTTTCCCCATCAGTTAATTGGAAAGGCTTAAAGTAGACTAGACAGATAATCAGTAAAGATCTTCTGTCCTGTGTTCAGCTGTCCTCCTAGATCAGCTCTCTTTCTTTTTCCTTTTCTTTCTTTCTATCCTTCTTCCCACATCTCTCCATTCCTTCCTTTTCCCTCTTTCTCTTTTCTTTTATCTCTTCTTTCTTTACTCTCTTTTCCTCTTCTACATTTTTTCCTTTTTCCTCCTTCTATTCTATACTTTTTTTTTTCTCTTCAGCACTCTTCTCCCCCATTGCTGCTTCTCATAGAAACACCATAATGGATCAGGGTTATACTCTGGACCTCTACCCAGTAGCCACTGACGTCCTTCCCTAAAGAGGACATTCAAAGCCGTCCTCTACCACATGGCTGGGCATTAAATGACCAGACGTGAAATAGAGGCTATTATTTCTTGTAGAAAAAGTGTGGATTTGCAGTCTGGAGACCTGGTGTCAGATTTTAGGGACCACAGTCTTCATGTCTACGTGGTCTTGGGCAGGTCATCTACCTCTTTGGGCCTTGGTTTACTCACCTGGAAAACGAGGGAATTGGACCATGATCTCTAGTCACCATCCATCCATTAATCCTGTGAACTAAGTTATGTTGAAAGAATTGAGACCATTTCGCTTAGGGAGAAGAAGATTCCTGGAGCCACGAGAATTATCTTTATGTATTAGAAGGGCTGGCACCTGGAAGAGGGATTTCATTTGTTCTTCTTGGCCCCAAACAGTAGAACTAGGAGCAGAGGGGTGTTGGTGGGGAAGGGGAATTGGAAGGAGGCAGATTGAGGCTTAATGCCAAGAAGACTTCCTGCCAATGTGAGCTGTCCAGCAATGAGAGAGGCTGACTCAGAAGTCGAGCTTCACTCTTGACCCAACCATTGCTGGAGGCCTTCAAGAAGAGGCTGGTCAGCCCCACCATCACAAAGCTTGTCAAGGGATTCCTGTACTGGGAAGAACATTGTCCTAGGGACCCTCTGAGGTCTGTTCCAGCCCTGAGATTCTGCAGTTCTCTCAAATGTGATTTGCCAACTTCTTATTTTAATTAAAACCCCCCAAATCCCTGCATCTCAGAGTGACAAAGCTAGGCGGGCTCTTTCAGGGCGGCCAGCCCAATTCCCTCATTCTGCCAAGGAGACAAAAGCTTAGCGAGGGGAAGGGACCCCTGACCCCTAGGCCAAACAGCAAGTCAACAGAGCTGCTCTCTTCCACTGGGGCTCACTCAAGTCCAGGGCTGCTTCCAAGCCACCAGAGTGACCTGGTACCTCACCTGGGGATAGGGAAGCTTGGAAGTGGAGAACAGAATACCATGAGTCCCCACCCTAGAATTGCTGCGCCCTCACCAATTTATTTATCCCCTAAAAGCCCCAAGCTCAGCAGAAGCACTGGATCTCCTCTGCGGTCCGGTGATCAGAATGCTTTTTATGGGCTGCTAAATGACAAACCTGTTTGTTACCTGCCTACATAAACATTCACTTGCATTAGCCCCGGAACACTTCATTTTTATTAGCCCAAGCGTTATCTTTTTATGAAGACACAAGGGCTGCATAAAATTAGGGTGCACATGGAAGACGCAATTTACATTTTCCCTCAGTCAGCAGAAATGTTCCAGAGCCAAATCATTTGGGTGTGAGGGCAATGAATGGGCATGCTAGCAAGAGCAGTGCCTACCAAGGGCCCTGGTAATGGCACCCACGATGTGCCAGCTGCCAGGCTGGGCAAAGACAGCAGCTCTCAGGAAGGCCCCTCAAGTGGCCTGTTTTGGAATAGATGTGAAGATAACAATGGCCATAGTAAAAAGAATGCCTGGGCTGCCAACCAGTAATTATGGCTGCCTAGAGAGGGAGCCAGCTGTTTGGGGGAGGTTTAGAGAGCATCCCAGATGGAGGGAAGGTGGGGATCTAAAGCCCACGTCATGTCTAAAGGTCTGTCCCAAGGAAGTCTGAGCCAGAAGGCTAGGTGATGTGGACCCCAGTGGAGATCTCATGCTGGGAAGCCTCTCTATCCATCCATGACCTCTTGTCCTGTGCAGTCTTTAGTCTATGTGTATATGCATACATGTATATATACATGCATATATGTGTACATATGTATATGGTGCACGTGTGTCTATGTCGATATAGCTATATATATCTACATATGGATGGATGTATCTATATCTATCTATATTCTCTCTCTCTTGACATACACACACACACACACACACACACACACACACACACAAACACATTATTTATCCTTACCAAATTATGGAAGAGGATTGGAAGAGATCTTAGAACACAGAATAGAGAATGTTGGAGCTCAGAGAGACCTTGGAACTTAGAACATAAAATGTCAGAGCTGGGGAGAGCCAGCAAACACAGCTTCAGAGCTGGTAGGGACATCTAAATGCAGAATGTCAGAGTCTGGAGATCTTAGAACATAGAACACGGGATGTCAGAGCTAGGGAAGACCTTAGCACAGGGAACTGAGAATTTCAGAGGTGGAAGGGACCTGAGAAAAGAGGACGTTAGGGTTAAGAGTGAATGGAAGAGCACGTGCTCTGAATCTACTATCCCAGCTCTCCCTGGCATAGATGAATCTCCTATACACCCTGAGGGTTCAGTGGGTGGTACTGAGGGGTTGGGAGTTGTCTTTCTCCAATAGCTCATGAGTCCCTATTAGGTACTTCCCCCTCACCCAAGATGGTCACTTAGCCAGAATTAAGTAGCTTTTAGAGAGGGATATTTACTAAGATGTAAGAACAACTGGTACCAAAAAAATCCCCCAAATGTTGGACCCACTGTCCCATAAATTCATACTGAATTGAGAGAGGAAGGAAGTCTAAGCTGAGAGAGCATGTGTGGCAAAGGGGTAACTCCCAGCTCCTGCTTCCCCTTAGGCACAGTGAGTGGATCTTCTTTATAGAGCTGTCAATCTGAGTCCAGTCTGTCCTTCGCTCCTCATGTAGGCATGACTATCAGCTGTTTCAGAGATGACACGAGGATGCCACTGGAAGGATGGGAAATCTTCTGGACCTCTGAGGTTCACTAGGTCTTCGTTCATGAGGTCCATGGGGGTGGGTGAAGATGAAGGCCAAAGTCAAAGTGCTCTTCCCCCTCCTCCCCCAAGCAGCCTCTCAGAGGGGTTAGGTAGAATACTATCCTCACTTGCTGCCTGCCAAAATCGCTGTCCCTCAGTTGGCACTGATCTATGCACCAGATTTCCTCATCCAACCTGGACACTCTTCCTCTGCATGGTCACTCCAGCTCATCAGTGGCTCATTAGAGACAGCTAATCTAATCAAAACCTTTTCACACTTGGTTGCAATGCCTTCAATTGATTTCATTCAGTTGAGACATATTCCTTGGTTGTGGTAACTGGGACTAGAAGTTTATTGTTTTATTTAAGTAGGATGGGGGTACTTTCCCACCCTTACACTTCGAACATAGAAGAGGGAATGAATGTCAAAGCTAGAAGAGATCTTAGAACATGGAAATGAGAATGTTACAGTTGAAAGTGATCTTGGAACAGGGAATGGCAGAGCTGGAAGGGGCCTTAGAACAGGGGATGTCATTCGATTTGTCCATTAGGAGATCATTAGTATCTGTGGGGGAGTGGTTTCGGTAGAGTTGTGAGGACAGAAACCTGTTGCAAGGAGATGGAGAGGGTGGATGAAGAGGGAGGAATGTTGCTTTCCAAGTTTTGAGGGTGTCCATGACCTCTGCTCAGGCCTCACCCTTTTTGACCTCTTGGCAATTTGAATCTGTGGATGATTGCCCTCTGAGAAGCTCTTTGCTCCATTCTCGCCTTCTTTCCAAACTTCTCATCCTCTTGCTGACCCCTAAATGTAGAGGTTCCCCAAAGCTCTTCCCACCAAGGAGAGGTAGGTGTGCAGAGGAAGAGGTGGGGATTCTGCTGGTAATGGAGGGAAGAGACCCCAAGAAGAATGCTATCTGACATCTCTGTAAAGTTTACAAAGCATTTTAAATGTCATTGAATCTGTTCTTCACAATAACTCTACAAGATATGATCAAGAAACTGAGGCTGAGGGAAATGAGGCAATTTGCCCAGCATCAGCCAGGTAGTGAGTGTCTGCAAGTAGGAATCAAGCTCCGACCTTTCTGACCTCAAATCCAGCATTTATGTAGTGCCTACTACATGCCAGTCACTGTGCTAAGCGCCTTATAAATATTTATCTTATTTGATCCTCACAACTGCCCTGGGGTTATTATCTCCATTTTACAGAAGAGGAAACTGAGGCAGACAGAGGTTAAGTGATTTGCACAAAGCAAGTAAATGTCTGAGGCTGGATTTGAACTCAGGTCTTCCTGACCCCAGGCTCTATCCACTGCACCACTGGTGGTCATTTGCGTCCTTGCTGGCCACATGAGCCACCATTCAGGGCATCCCCTGGCCCTGCCTCCCTGACATCTCTGATTTTTCCTCTTGCAGGGAACCTCCATGATGGAGCTGAGCAGAAGGTGGTTTTCATTACAGGCCGCATCCACCCTGGGGAGACCCCCTCTTCCTTTGTGTGCCAGGGTGAGTATCTTAGGGCCCCAGGAGCTCCTCCCTTGCCCCCTCCCCTCCTTTTCTCAGCCATGTTCCTGGCCCTCCCTCACAGGTGTCTGGAACAGCTCAGTGTGGGACAAAGTAACAAGCTTAACCTTTTAGAACAAAAGAGGCCTCCCCGGGCCATCTAGTTACCATCCAGTGCCATAATCTCCCTTACAGACTCCTCTTTCTAATGATGGAGAGCTCACTACCTGTCAAGGCAGTTTGTTCTATTGTACATTCTGATGGCTAGAAACTCTTTTCTAACATTGAACCAAAATCTCCCTCCTTATAACTTCTTTCTGTCAAGCCTATTTCTGCTGTCTGGGGCCAAGCAGAACAAAGCTAATCCTTCCCCAATCTGACAGCCCTTCAGATATGTGAAGATGGGTCTCCTGTGTCCTCCCACCGCCCACCCCCTGTCCCCCACCCAGCTCTTCATCTCTGGAGGCTAAATATTCTGAATCTTTTTTCCTGATCCTTCTGTGATATCCCAGCAATGGATAAGATACAAATCTGCCAAAAGACTCAGATGATGACACCCCCTCCCCAAACTCCCTCCCCAGCAATGCTTCTATTCTAGGCTGTATCATTTCATTCTCTAGATAATCACCAAAAGGAACAAGCCCTGTCCAAAAATGGAATGGGCAGCTTTTAAGCTATCACTGTCTTCAAATGGATGACCACTTTTGAGAGGTATTGTAAATAGGACTCGTTACCCAGGGCAGGAATTCCATTAAATACCCACACAGGTCCCTTCCAACTCTCTGATTCTGTTTTTAAAAAATTCTGTGAACCAAGTCATAAATTCAGCATTGCCCAGCTATTTTCTCTTTTTTGGACAAATAATGTCACTGGAAATAGTCTCTGGGAGCCTGGCGGCCTTGCTCTGTCTCTAATTTCACAGCTCATTTGCTGTGTGACCTCTGGCAAGACACTTAACGTCTCTGAGCATCAAGCCCTTCATCTGTAAAACAGGGATAAAAACCCTGCCGTCAGCTTCCTCTGTATACTTGGGACAAGAGGGAGGAGATGCAGAGAGCAAAATTAGGGGCAATGGGGATTCATTTCCAGAGGCTTAATAGGATGTCGAGGTGGCAGGAACTTTGGAGGTCATCCAGGCCAAAGGCTTCATTCAAGAGATGGAACCAAGGCCCCCAGAGGGGGCTTTATAGGGTATGGTGGGCATGGAGCTCAAAGACTTCATTAGAACTGCAGTGCCCTTTGGGAATAAGAGCATTAGGAAGAGCTTCCTAAGAATGAGAGCTGTCCAAAAGTGGAATGAGCTGGCCGCCTCAGGAGGTAGTGAGTGCCCTGTTACTGGAGGTCTCCAAACAGACAGAACTCCTTGTAAAGTGTATTATAAAAGGGATTCCCATTCAAGTAGAGGTTAGATAGGATGACCTCTATGGTCAGCTCTGAGGCTCAAGGGTGCTGTGACCTTGTCTTCCCTGGATGGGTGGGTGGGTGGATGGATGGTTGGGTGAAGCAGTGGTTTTTTTTTTTTCCCCAAAAATTGAAGTAGAGAACAGGAAGGGTAGAAGACAGTGATTCCCTTTACCAAGAACGATCCGGAAGGGCTGATATCAGGATGTCACTGGCAGACAATCTTCAAAAACGCAAAGAAGGGTCATGGTGTGGAGCTGGAGACAGGTTCCGGGAATAAGAATGCCAAGGACTAGGGGAGGCCGAGTCAGCTCTGGGATCCAGGTATAGGCATTCCTTCGGGTCCAGCTCCTTCCTGGAGCATCTAAGATCATAACCATAGTACCTCAAGCTCCCCTCACCTCTGACATTCCCTGTCCTCAGGCCCCTCCCAGCCCTGACATCCCCTGTTCTCAGCCCTTCCCAGCCCTGACATTCCCTGTTCTCGGGCCCCTCCCAGCCCTGACATTCCCTGTCCTCAGGCCCTTCTCAGCCCTGATATTCTCTGCTCCACATTTTATGTCTGGGGGTGGGGATAAGTAAGAGTTTGGGCTCTTCCCACCACAGGTGTAAGGGAAAGCTGATTTTTCCATACTGTTCCAATTAGAGATCTGCCTCCACTTCCTTCCCTGATCCACTTTTGAACTTCAGAATCACAGAATCCCCAGACTGGAGGAAGCCCCAGGCCATCTTGTCCAACCCATCTGTATTGGGTCAAGAATCCTGCCAGTAACATCCTCAGCTGGCCAACCTGCCTCTGCTGGAGCTCTCCCTGGAGAGGAGCTCCTTCCCCCTTGAGGCTCCCAGGCTACATCGGGGCCTCGTTCTTAGGGGTCCAATGCCCCTCTTCACCCTCCCTCCACCGAAGCAAAATAAATCTCATTTCTCTTCCCTAAGAGAGTTGGTCACATAACTTGACAACCACCAGTTTCTACCTGAGCCTTCTCAGGCTAAGCCCCCAGGAATTCACTGGCGTTGTTCCAGGTCACAAGGGCTATTTGTGGCAGAGCTCGAGGTCAGACCAAGGTCCTCAGACGCTTCACCTAGCCCTGTCTCCACTGTGCCGTGAGTGGAGGAGGGGGACTCCTGCATCTGGTGTGAGTTGGGAGAGATGCCTTGTGGAGTCCCTTCCAGATCTCTTAAAAATCCCATTCTTCTGTGATGTGGCTGCCCAGCCCCGAGAAGAAGTTCTTAAAAAGTGTGGAGGTCCCAACAAGGGAAAGAGGGAGGAAGGAGACATTCCTGCTTGATGTGATTAGCAATGAGGGAAGGGGTAGGATCAGAGAGGGCTTCCTGGAGGAGGTGACCCTGACCTGAATACTGGATGCCTAATCTCCTTGGGAATTCAGACCCCAGCTCTCTGCATACAACAGGCACCAAAGCAATGTCTGATTGCATTTGTGTGACTAGTTTCAGAGAGAGAGGCAGCCAGGAGTGAGAACAGTGTTGGAATAGGAGTCAGGACCCTGGGGCTCCTGTAGGTTGAAGGAACTGGAAATGTGTCATCAGGAGAAGAGAAGATGCAGACAGGACTTGCTACTTGGTAGAGCCCAGTAGATTCCGAGCTGTGGGAATCAGGGTCTGTTCCTCTCATTTCACTTTCTTGTTTTTTCGTTTTTTCTTTACAAGAACTTTACAATCTATAGAATACTTCACAGTTTACGATACACATCGCCATCACCCCAGCTCCCATTCTGTCTGTGCTCCAGGGTTCTTTCAGCCTGTGAGAGGTACAAGGCAAAGGAGCCTTGGATTTAGAGTAAGAGGTCCTGGGTTCAAATCTTGGCTCTACTAGCTGTGTGACCTTGAGTAGGTCCCTTTCCCTCTCTTGGCCTCATTTTCCCTTTCTGTAAAGGGGGTTGGCCTAGAGGATCCTTCTGGTCCCTCTAGCTCTCTAGCACTAAGTTTGAACATGAAGCGAGGTTGGGCAGACCTCGATTGTCCCAACAGGGGGGGCTGGGGAAGTTGGCAAAATTGAATTCCTGTCACTCGGACCATATGTTCCTCGTGACTCACAGTCCCACTGCTTGTCAGCATCTCTGCTGCAAGGCTGGGGCAGAGCCTCCCCGAGCTGCAGCCTGAGGGTAATGATCCGGAAACCGAGGCTTAAACACTACTTAAAGGGGCCCTGCCATGAATCTCTGGTGTGGGTTCTCCTCCCCCACCCCCACCTCCTGAAGCAGGTAGGCAGGCCTGACTGCTCCCTTCCCTTGATCAGACCCTTCAGGGGAGACCTCATCACATGCTGGAGAAAGCAGAGAGGCATGTGACCCAGTGACAGGAGTACCAGACTTGAAAAAAGAGACATGGTTTCAGATCCTGCCTCTAACACTTGCTACCCGTGTGACCTTGGGTAAGTTCCCATCCCTTTTCTGGGCCTCAATTTTCTCCTCTGTAATATAAGGGTGTTGGACTGAATAATCTCAGATTCCTTTCTGCTCTAAAATCTCTGGTCCTTTGTGTCTCCTGGGGGAGAGTCTAGCTATGACACTATGAGCCCCCACCGGTGCATTTACCTTTAGTAGGGAGCCACTAGACACAATTAGCTGAAAAGCAAAGGGATTTTACTTAAAGGAGCATGATAAGAACAGTAGCTGGCCAACATCCGTCTTCCCCTCATGGACCTGGGACACTCTCTCCTACAAATATACAGAGCTTGCTGGCTATAGTGGGCACACATTTGTGGAAAGGTATAGGTGTGATGAATACACGTGGCCAAGGCAACTCATACCTCCAACCATGATCTCAATTTGCAATAGGTCTCTGCTAGGCAGGTTACATAGCTGAGATACCTGAGTCTGCTCATCTCCCCAGCTCAACTCCCAACCACCAGGCTAGTTTTCCCTGAATCCATAACTGTCTCTGTCCTCATGCTCCTGGCGGTAACCTCCAATGACTTCCTCTGTTTCTGTCTCTGTATCTCTTTGAGCCTCTGTGTCTGTTTTTCTGTCTCTCTCTCTTTCTCTGCTCCCTGCCGGATGTGTCATTTTCTACAGTTTGAGCAGCTCTGCTAATGGTGGGGTGGGAGGGCTGAGGGGAAGAGAGAGAAACCCCCCTCCCCTGACCTTCATCACAGGGGGCAACTACACACAGCTGCTTCCTGCTTAGACTGTATCTCAGGGCTGGCAAGCTTGCTTTACGAGGGCCAACAGGACAAGGCCAGTCTTTTGCTGGCCAGAAGAAAGCCGCCCCTCCATTTCGATCATGGAGACGTCCTTCATAGGAGTAGAGGCACCTGTGTGTGCTGTGTTCTTCACGTTAATGCCCCATCTCTGTGTTACTGTCTCCTTCTCTTCCCCCTCTCCCCTCCACACAGATAGAAGGTTCTAGCAGAATGGCAGCTCTGGGGATGTACTTGTCTGCATCCCCTGCACTTAGTAAATGCTGGTTGACTCATTACCGAAGCGCTTGTAAACTGTACTTTGTAAACTAAATCACCTTCTCTGAATCCCAGCTGGTTCTCCTATAAAATGGGGATAAAATCCTTGCCCTGGCCAGGGTGTCAGGGCCAGCAAGCTTCCAAGCTGGCATGTGTACCCCAATCACCCAATCTCGCCTCTAGT